AAAAAAAAAAAAAAAAAAAAAAAAAAAAAAAAAAAAAAACTCTTAATATTCACTAATATCAATAAATAAAAAAATTTACCCAAAAATGTTATTTTTTATTAAAAGCAAATTAGGGCAATAGAATACAAAGTGAATGGACATAATATTGGGGACAAATTTTACTGAATTTATGGCATTTCAGCTTCCACGTTCAAATCCCTTTTCATTTTATTTTTAAAATGATAATTTATTTGGTTTATAAAACTATAGGAATTGAAATGAAATAAATGAAAGTAGAGGGACTTAAGTGCTAATATGACAAAATTTATGCATGGAAAAAGTGCGGCTAAGAACTTCAATGAAACAGCTGAACTAAGACAGAATGGTGTTCAAAATTTGATCTTTTACACTTCCCATTCCCTTGATTTTTATCGTTCCTAAAATTCGATAACGATAACGATAACGATAACGGTAAGAATGCTTGCCTGGAGTAAGGCGTGGTTGGGAAGCATGAAAGAAAGATCGTTTAACTCGACAACTACCGTTCGAATTTGAACCACTTCCAATTTGCATACATGCTCGATTCGTTTTCAAACGGAAGATCTGTAGTTGGAGCAGGTTCGGGCCTTGTAAAGCCTTCGACCACAGGTAGCCGTTGCCTGTACTTCTTCGCCATGATCTTGGCCTCTGAAAATACCTTCTAATATAGGAAAAGAAAAAAACGACTCGAGTCAAATTTCAAAGAAAATGAAGTTCGTCGGTGAGGAAGATCGGTATGACTAGAGTTACCTCCTTGTTCGATATAAAGAGGCCGGGCTCACTTTCGAGGTCTGCAATGCTGTAAAACCACAAAAGAAAAATCGTTATCACGACTCTATTAAATCGAGTAATATACTCGTCAATTACCTTAGGGATATCTTGTCGGGAAACATCGACTTCACGACAAGAACTTTGACCTTTTCGCCCACTGCGAGTAAGTCGCTCACCGAGGTAACTCGGGCACGGGTTATGTTCGAAACATGGAGTAATCCGCTGAGAAACATTTAGGTGGATGCATCAACAATTTTTCAGAAACTAAAGATTAATAAGAACAACAGAATATGGCAAGCCCAGTCAAAGCAGAAACTATTTCTTCACAGTTCATCTCAATCAGCTATTTTTAGCTATAAAAGCAATCTACATTGATACTCACCTTCTGTTTGTATCACCAATTCTTATTTGAGCTCCATAAGGAAATATTTTCTTCACGGTCCCTTCTAGAAGAGTTCCCTCACGGAGATACAGCGTTTCCTACGATAAATACGTAAATCGACTATTTATTGGTGTACTCGTCCAGTGCTCGAGGAGAAAAAATTCGAAAAGAATGTAGTGGTGAAACTGACCCAAGCTTGTCTCTCACTTAGTATCAAATCATTTTTAGCTTCATCTATTCGCATGATCTGCACAAAGATCCGACGTCCCACCTGCACGATAGGAGACCAATACAGTGAGCTAAGATCGTTTCGTTCATACTTTCCATTTGACTTATTATGTCAAGTTAAAATCGACACTGCAAAGGGGCAAGTTCAAGGCAGAAAATTTGAAGAAATCCGAGTAATTGAGAATACGAACTGGATGTATATCCAAGAAACAAGTTAAACAAGACATGTGCCACAATGACGAAAGTCCGCGAGGCAAATTCTTGGTTCCACATGCATATGACGAAATCATAAGTTTCAAGACCCCGCTCTAGAATAATATCATGACAACGACGACCAAGTCGATTACAATAAGGTAGTTACAATGCTTATTACATCAGAAGATTGAAAAGGATGAAGAGCGAGATATTTTAAGGCATTATTTACGGGCATGTTGTATCAGCACAAGCCTGCCACTAGCAAATATTGTCCTCTTTGGATTTTCCCTCTCGGGCTTCCCCTCAAGATTTTTGAAACGCGCCTACTAGGGAGAGGTTTCCACACCCTTATAAAGATGCCTCATTCCCCTCTCCAACCGACGTGGAATCTCAAAATCTACCCCCTCCGAAACCCAGAGTCCTCACCGACACTCGTTCTTCTCTCCAATCAATGTGGAATCTCACACATGTCTTTTTCTTAGGAAACTATTTCATTGACCACGAAATTTACAAATAAAGATGCATAATCCAAGATGTTAGACAGTTTACACTATGAAATAGCATGATAAATCGCAAGACCAGAGAACACTGCAAGATTATATTCTTTATCCATAAAAACCCTTTGAAATTTTGAGGCTCAGTTGACGAATTGAACATGATGAACCAGTAAAGGCTGCATATAGCAGCTAAAACATAGAAGAAACTGAAACATACTCACATTTTCTTTCAATTCTGTGAAGTTATTTACTCGATTCAATAACTCAGCCTTCGGAAGAAACGCTCGCAAACCCTGTAGAACAACAGATCAAAACCGAACCGAAACATAAGCCATTCAATAAGAACATACAAACTAAAAACCAAATTAATTAAGATGGCATAAACAACCTCAATTCTTGTAAGAAGGCCTCCAGTATTCCACTCTGATATTTTAACTTCAATCGGCTCATCGAGTCGTTTAATCTGTCGAACAAGGGAACCACAACGAATATATACATTTCTTCTTTGTGCCCCCTAACACAGAAACTTCAATAAACAAAGAAGCTAATCAAGAAAAGAACCTGCCTCACTCGATGCCAAGCTAACCGTCGAAACAACCTTCTAGTCGAGAGCAATGGGCGACCACTAAGTGTCCTTCCCAAAACCTCAGCAAACAAAACTGTGCCAGTCTCCACGACAGGGCGCCCCGGCCCCAGTCCACGGCTAACAGCATCGTCGTATTTCACCAGCCCCATCTTCCCATTCATCATAAAAGACTCGGCATCCTTGTCTAGATCACACATCAAGAATTCCACCTCTTTGTCATACAATGGAAGCACCTCTTTTGTCAACATTGTTCCTAATAGATCCGCCCCGACATTGATGTCGAGCTTGTTTTCATTACCGGAGACAACCACACCGACCACGACATCTCCAGGTTTGGGCTCATAGTACTCAACATTTAACTTATTGGCTTTCACAATCTCCTCATCTCCATCAATTTTCTCTTCAAAAGCTCTTACCGCCTTTTCCTCTTCTTCCTCTTCTTCTACAGCATCTGTATTCTTAAAGAACTTCATAAATGGCGCTAGGGCTTCATTCTCGTCGGGATTTTCAACTTCTTCGTCAAATTCTGATGAAACTCCATTGTTTATAGGAGCAGGAGAAGGTTTATTTAGCAAACCAATCTCATCGATGCCTTGAATTTCATCCTCGCTAGGCTTATTCGGCAACTGAGTGCTCGAGAAATTATCAAAAATTTCATTCCTAGAGCAAAATACAACGCTACTCCTCCTTCGCAATGACAATTTCTTGGATTTATCACAGTTATTAGACCAATTAGAAGTGGAATACAATTTGAAATTTGAGATTCGTGGAGTGAGAAATGCTGAATTCCTAAGGGAATTAGATGAAACTGAGAAATCTTGAGGCTCAGATGACGAATTGAGAGCGCAAAGACACTTACAGGGTTGAAGTCCCGCAAGGATTAGCATCATTTTTTGGCTGCCCACCTCATGAGCTGAGCTCGGCTTCGTCGCTGGAGGATTTTGGCTTCAATGAGTGCCTTTGAAATTGCATTATCCGTTCTGTTCATATTATTCGGCGCGACTGTTTCTGGGCAAGCAGATGATGGGCCGTGGGCCTTGGGCTTGGGAATCAAATTGGGCCTAAAATTGGGCTTGTGTTTTGAGTTCATGTGGCCTGGTCGACTAGTCTTAAGAAGAATTTGAGCCCCATATACATTTTTTGCCCGACTTTATAGTTTTGTCGGACCTTAGATGAGATTTGACTTCGCCAACCAAACATCACTTGTGCGGAATCAAAACTTGTTCGACCACACACACCGTTGCATGTATGTTCAATTAACTACGACACTTCCAACTTGCCTCTACACTAGACCAAATCATCCGACTCAACCTTGTGTCTACTTGTGGCTAATGTCTCTCAATGCAATTAGCATCCAACATAATAGTGGTTCCCAATCAACATGGCCCATATGTCTCAACGTCATCCTAAATCACAAAGTGTCATCGGTCGTTGTAACTCATTCCGTCATACCATCTAGAATGACATATAACTTTTTAACGCCTCCCTTTAAAAAAAACTTTTTAAGAAACTATGACAAAATTTTAATATTTATTAATCAGAAATATTTGTTGCTTAAATGCATAATTAAAAATTTTATAAATTCATAAAATTGAGCGATAACTTAATTAATATAAATATCTAAAGCTCTAATCTCTTCCACTATTTTCTTACTACTAATGTGATTAAAAAAAAAAAATTTACTATCATTAAAAAAATGGTAGAAAAAATCAGAGACACCGTATAAATTCTCGTTGGCACGTGTATATATATATATATGTGTGTGTGTATGTATGTGTATGTATATATATATTCTGAAGAAAATTTCAGAATCTCTATTAAAAAATAATAATAATAATAAAAAGTTCAGAATCTCTCTCTTGAGGAGCACAATATTGCATAGCATCCAGAAAAAGGTCTCCAAATAGATCAAATTTCTTGAAGAAAGGCGGAGCTTAGAAGACTGTCATCTCTCAGCTGCCGAAGAAATCCTCGAAGATTCTGCAGATAGAACTGAGCCTCTGTTCATAATCACCTTTCAGGTTCGCCTATCTCTTTTCTTCTCTGTAAATTGAATTGATTTCTATTTAGATTAGCTCTGAACATGAAACTTTTCGATTTATTTTAACAATAGAAAACGGAAAACACTTGGTTAGTTCCCATTTTTCTTATTCCGATTTTATGTTCTTCGTTTTTAGTTTTAATTTCCAGCGATCGTAGTTAACTGTATAGATCCTTCGTTCTCGGTCTAATTTGCAAGAATTTTTTCATTTCGTTTCGTTTTTTTTTTCTTACGTATTGTGTATAAATTTTGTTGAATTCAGTAAAATTATAGGTTTAGTCGATTGTTTTTCTCCTAAATTTGTTTTCTGTGATTTTTTCTTTTAAAGAATATAGTTAATTGTTCTTGCGGTTCTTAGTTTCAAATGGAAAAGACCAGCAATCGATCCTTTTTTCAAGCCATAGAGACCATAAAAATGATCGATTATAGTGATATTCAAGAGAGACCTTATTGTTGGGTAATGCATTTAACCAACCAAACTTTGCAATATGAAATCCCAAATGGATTTGGAAAGAGAACAAGATATAATGAAGTGCTCAAAACTACTTCGGCATTGATTTCTCTGTTGAGCAAAATTTAATTCATTTTGGAATCCTTTTCCCATCATCTTTACCGGTTGTACTTTTTGATGTGCTTCCTTTAAATCGATCTTTCTGTCTAATGAGAAAATTCTTGATTTGTAACGTTTGAAGTTCGGATTCATGGAATGATGTATGGTTCTGATATATAAAATTTCATTTGCCAAATAGATCTCGTCTCGTGAATGATAACCTTTTTCTGAACTCACCTCTTATCTTGTTGATGTGGAGATTCAGAGAGATGAAGAAGGTGGACGTGCCCATGTGGGGTTTGCTTCTTGTTTTTATCTTGATGGTAGTGAAAATCGAGCCCATTGCATCTTTGCCATCTACTATTCCTGCATTCCTCTGGTCCCCTCAGCATCGCCATGGGTATGCTGCTTGATTTTTCGTGTTTCTTTTATGCGACATGTGACATTTTTTGTGTATCAACTCGTTCCACTGAATTATACATAGATTAAGTTTATACAATTGAGATCCTCGACATCCCTATGTCGGATCATCCTTGTTCGTTGTGGCATCCATTTGGCCTCTCCTAAAATTACTCAATGGAATATATTTGGCGCATCAAAGGTAGAAAATTTTCTTCTCGAGTGGTACGGGGAGTTCGCATAAGAGCTCAATAGCTTGTAAAATTAACGTTCACATAATACTATGGGCTGTTTGGTGGTGCATGCATAGTATAAACAGTACATAGATGAAGCTATCTACGTATAGTTAGCGAATTTTTTTTGCCTTTCTCCCTGCTTAGCTGATTGTATGGTTTATTGTTGTTATTTTAAATTTTAGATTCTCCATTATTCGTCTTCTTTTCTGTCTATTTGGTTAGTTTCCCCATTATCATCATTTATTTGGTTTTATACGAGTGAATTCTCTTTGGAGGGACTTGTAACAGCCCAAGCCCACCGCTAGCAAATATTGTCCCCTTTGGGCTTTCCCTCAAGGTTTTAAAACGCGTATGCAAGGGAGAGGTTTTCACACACTTATAAGGAATATTTTGTTCTCCTCCCCAACCGATGTGGGTCTCACAGGACTACTTGTTATATATCATATACTATCATTATTCTATGTTTGATTTAAAAATTGTACTGTATGGCCGCAGGTTGTCTAACAACATCCTAGAAAAATATGTCGATTATCAGACCATTTCCCCACAGGAGATGGCAAAGTCTGTTCTCTATGAAGGCGGCTGGTCAAAAATTCTGGTGTGTTTGTTAACATTTCGAATCTTGTTTTAGAGTTCTCTGTCATTTTTAAGAATTTTTATTTTTTAAAAGGCTTCCTGTTTTGCTTTTTGGTATATCCTTTTCTTTAGTTTGGCTTTCTTTCCTTTTGGGCTTGGTTTTCTGGACACCCTTTTTATCTCATTCTTTTTTTTTTTTTCTCAATGTAAGTTTGGTTCTTCACAAAAAAAAATATTCTCGATTTCTTTTCTCGTATTGATATATTATTAATTGTTTAATTGTTTAGTGCACGAAAAAGGAAGTAGAGCAGCCTGTGGATCTTGCAATAATCTTTGTTGGTTCAGAGGTAGGAATATATGGAGTTTGGGATCTATCACTCACTCTTCATCATGTAACTCTTTCAGTTATTGTGAATTTGTTCTGCTCTCTCACATGGTTTATTTCATTCTTCATTGTATTTTTTTTCTTATAGCCAAAAATCTGACCTCTGGTTTATCAAGTTTGAATTTGGGCTATTGTTTGAGCTTAAAAATAGACAACTTCGAAATATGGATATAGGAGAACCTGAAAGGTGATCAAAGGTTTATCGGATAACGTGATCAAAGCATGTTTTCAGGGAATTTGGTCCAAAATGAATCTAAGATTATTATAAGATAAGTAATGTCTAGCTAAGGTGGTTAGGATGGAGTTAATTAGATACTAAGACAATTCTTGATATGGCAAAAGCTTGGGATTATTTTATTTGTTTTTTATAATTATCAATATTATTATCGAAAAAAGTATGTAAAACTCAAAAAGAATAACTATGAACTTTTTGAGTCTCATCCACGTTCGACATGCTTTCCTTTTTAATCTTTATATATTTGCTCGTAGTCAGATTATGATGTTAGCTCAAAGCTTTATTTTATGTCATGTGTCGCAAATAGTTTTTCTACTTTCAAGGATAAGAATTTGATGCACTGTTATGTTGGTTTCTTGATCAAAGTCTTTTGCCTTTTATAGTTGCAGTCAGATTTCATGAACAGGCGCATGGATCCAAATCTTATGGACTTACTTAAGGTTTGCAAAAACAATTTGTTTTATAAATTCTAAAACTGCATATGAGTCTCAACTCTATATCTTGGATCAATTTTCACAGGTTTCTTTCTCAAGGTCCAACTTCTCCATGGCATTTCCCTATGTGGCTGCACCAGAAATGGGTACAGTTGAAAATATATTGATCTCGGAGTTCAAAAAATCATGTGGGCATGACCTCAGAATCAGCAATAGCGCTTTTGGGGAGTCGAATTCTGTTGAGGATGAATCATTTCAGAGACTTCCAGTGCTGCAATCGGTTAACGTAAACCCGTCTTTATATGACCAAAGTCTGTTTTCTTAGAACATTTATGATATCGTTCTTGATTCTTTCTGCGTTGAACGAGTAGGATTATTTGGTTTCAAGAATGGAAAAGAAGCCAAAGGGAGAGACGGATTTGGTAGTTTTCGCTCATGGAGGTCTCGGTTCTCCCAAAGAAGTCGATCCATCAACTTCTGAAAGTATGTTGGCTCATTGATGATTTATGTTGTGGCTGTAGTGGTATAAATTCTTATGTGTGAATTTTGAAATTATTATAGGCAAAACTTTGTTGGAGATAATGACTTCTGCGGATCATGTTGGGGCAAAGTATGAAATTCTCTATATTTCAGATCCTTTTAGGTCCATTCGCCATTCTTATGTCGAGCTGGAAAGATTTATGGCTGAAGGTTCCTCTGGAAACGGATCGGCTAAATCAGCAAATTCTTGCGATGAACTCTGCCAAATTAAATCATCTCTTCTCGAGGGCCTCTTCGTCGTGAGTCGCTAACTGTTTTTATATGATTTCTTAGCTTTACGATTCATATATTTTGGCTATTGGTTAATCATCAGGACCTGGTAGTATTTTAGTTATATTTTAGCCAGTTCTAGAACTACTTGAAACACTGGACTGAAATATTGGAGTTAGTAAAAAGTTGTGAGATATTACATTGGTTGGAGAGAGGAACGAAACATTCTTTATAAGGATGTGGAAACCTCGCAGATGCGTTTTAAAACCTTGAGAGAAAGTCCGGAAGGGTAAGCCCAAAGAGGACAATATCTGCTAGTGGTGAGCTTGAGCTGTTACAAATGGTATCAGAGCTAGACACCAGGTGATATGCCAACGAGGACGTTGGGCTCCGAAGGGGGGTGGATTGTGAGATCCCACATCGGTTGGAGAGGGGAACGAAGCATTCTTTATAAGGGTGTAAAAACTTCTTCTTAGCAGACGCATTTTAATACTTATTTTAAAACCTCAAGGGTAGCCTAGAAGGAAAAACCTAAAGAAGACAATATCTGCTAGCAGTGAGCTTGGGCTGTTACAAAGTTACTCTCGGAAACGTGGTTAGTTGTTGAGACCACGGTTGAGACCACGAGTCTTGATTGTTAAAATGTGTCATTTTGGCTTACATTTGCTTCCATTCTCCAACCATGCAGGGGCTAGTTTTGCTTATAATCCTATTATCAGGCCTTTGCTGTATGATGGGTATTGACACCCCAACGAGATTTGAGACGCCACAAGATTCTTAAAAGCACGAATTGTTCTGGGAATGTATATCATTGAAGGGAAGAAGCTAAAGTTAATGGTACCATTAATTTTGTCATACTAGATATTAAGCTATTCTTTCTTAAACTTGTCTCTTGTGGCATGGTTTTTTGCCATGCTCTCTAGCTGCTGCTACTGGTGTTAATGTTTTGAATATTTCAAGCATTTTGGTTTGTCCTCGACGCTTTTATGCGATATCATTCTAAGCAAGGCGAGAATAATAAAGATGTGCTATTCCATCAAGTTTTTCATGGTTGGATGTCGAGAGAGTTCTTTGAATTTATATCGAGTAGTTAGTGGGAAACGTACATACTATGATTGTTGTGTCCTTCGAGTTGTGTTTATGTGGCATATTGTTCCAAAGTCTGCGTCCATGTGTTGTGCCACCCTCTTTAATCGTGTCCAGTGTTCACGTGTGAGATTCCATATCAGTTGAAGAGTGGAATGAAGCACTCCTTATAAGGGTGTGGAAACTTCTCCCTGACAAATTGCGTTTTAAAATCGTGTGAGATTGACAGTTATATGCAACAGGCTAAAGCGGACAATATCTACTAGTAGTGGGTTTGGGCTTGTTACAAATGGGTATCAGAACCAAACATCAAACGGTTTGGAAGCGAGGATGTTGAGCCACCAAGGGAGTGGGGGATGGATTGAGAGATCTCACCTCGTTTTGAGAGAACAAAGTATTTCTTGTAAAGGTGTGGAATCTCTCCCTATCAACGTTTAAAAATTGTGAGGCAGGTCAAGTGGACAATATCTATTAACTGTAGATTTGGGCTGAACGTTTCATTTTGATGACTATAGACATAGTACGATAGGTTTGGACTCTTACGTCAAGTTTCATTTAGGTGATTGTATACAAGTTTCATTTATGCGATTGTATACTATAATACTAAAATTATTCGACAATCCTATATTTTCTAATAAACTTAACTACACACTAAATAAAAAATAATAATATTAAATCTCATTAATTTAAATACATGATAAGAGCATAATTAAGTCACTTCTCTCTCAACTTTAAGAGATCGTAAATTCAAAATTGAATTTGTAATGTTTAAATAAATATTTTTTTTCCTAAACAATGTTCTTATCTCGATATCTTAGTATCAAACAAAATGATATTAAAAATAATTAAACGAAATCAACGGCTAAGGAAGCTAGATGACTTGACCAAAATCAAGAGCTTTGATCTTACAATCAGAACCGTTGACTTTAATCACATGGACACCACCTGCCAATCCAGAATAATCCTATCCATTCATTTCAATTTATTTACCATTAAAAAAAGCATTTTATGAATATTGTTTTTTTTTTAAATAATTTATAGAATATCAATTGTTATTAAATCGTGAAAATGTGGCATTGGCATTGGAACAAGTCACATCACTAATAAATAGTAAATAAAATAACGATGTAATCAATATAAAAAAAAACAACGGTAATAAATATATTAAAAAATTACTATTTTTATACTTAATTGGAAATTTGTCATCTAGTATTAAATTAAAAAATAAAAAAAATAAAACTAAATGATTGGAACTAAATAATAAACAAACATACATATCAAGTTAATTAGTAAATATTTTTTAAAAAATATAATTTATCAAACTTAAATATATATTTTTTTATATAATTATGTGAATTTTAAATATAAAATTTAAACTTTATAAAAAAAATTAAAATTAAATATTTGAAAAAGTATATAAACTAAAATTAATCAAGTTTTAGAGTAATGATATTTTTAAGCTATAATATCATTTCCCTTATCCCAATGTCTTATTTTCATTAAATTTCCACGTTGTCAATATTAAAGAAAAGTTTAAAATATTCATTTTTCTTTTAATTTTTAACCAGGGTACTTGTTTTCTGGCATTTCCATAAATTCGTGGAGGACGTGTCGTACACGTGTCAGATTACGAAATCTTTATCGATTTTCGAGTAATTTTTTTAAAAAGTCAATACGCAAAGTTTTGTGTGATTCGTAATAACACTGAGATTTACATAATAATAATAACTCCAATGACATCTGTTCCAATAAAAATCTACCACGTGGTATTTTGTGACGCCAGAATAAACAAGAACTTTTAAAATATTAATATAATTAATGTCGTATCTTTTAAGATATATCTATATTTTAATTAATTATGAAATTCTAAGATTAAAATATGGTGATCCCTTATTTATTAGCACGTAAAATTTTTAACTGATTTATTGGTGACGTGTCAGAATATTTGATTTATTTGTCGTTGATAATAATCAAGTAATTCTATACCGGTATATGTTAAGTTTTGCTAGAACAAGTAAGAGGTTACTCACTTGATGTGCTAGCTTGATGCGTGCGAGCTCCTTCTAGGCGTTAGTAACCGTTTTCAGTTATTGTTCCCCTTCTAAGTGCACGTTATTACGTATTACTCACCCACGTGCCACGAGAAACACCACTTCCCATCTAACTTGTGTGTGCTAAGTACGTTGACATCATTCATCCTAAGTCAAGATCGAACTCTCGCTTAATGCAATTTCCAACCTCCAAATAACGATAAAGAATCAACAAACGAATACGTCTCTACAGACTATAATGAATCTGTAATATTATTTTCTCATCCCCACTTCGAGTAATTGCTTAACTAAAAAAACATCTAAATTAACTTTCGATTTTAAATGTAGTATATCAAATTTGTATTCAAACCCTAATTTTATTTTTAATTATTAGTATTATCTCCCTAATTAACATCGAATTATACTTAGAATCCCCTAAATTAAATAAAGTATATTAAAGTTAATAAAATATTATTAGAGAACGGAGAGATTCCATTCGAGGAGAATTTTTTTTTGTTCCTAACGTATGTTTATAAATTTCACTTTGATCATTACCTTGTTGAACGGAGACGGTCTTTTATTATTTCTAAATTTCAAAAAAATTGTAGTCAATATAATGCAACTTTCCTTGCATAATTTTAAATTATTTCATAATTCATACATAAAAATCTAAAGAAAATAAATGTCTTAATCCATGTTTTTTTTTTAAATTTTATTAATTTATCCATTTAATTCATGTTATTTGTTTCTTACATTTTAGGAGTGTTTTTAAAATTGGAATAAAAATTAAAAATAACAAAAATTTAAAAACTATTTTTATTTTTAGAATTGAAAATTGAAATGCTCGTATAAAAAAAAATGAAAACATTATTAAAAAATTAAGAAAATCATAATTTTTGAAAATTTAAAACAAGGAATAAAATGGTTAAATAATGTATTAATATAAAATCAAAGCAATATATAAATATTATAAATTGAGATGTATATTTAATGAAAAAAAAGGAAATTAATAAAAACTTGTCACGTTAATTTGACATAATAGAGCGGCAGTCCCCAAGCTTATAAATAGATGGGATGTGAATTTTGAAGTGATTATATTATCCTTATGAAAACAAATAATTAATAATTAATAATTAATAATTAATTGAGTAGTGGTTGGGTTACGACGTCGTCGCATTGGATCTTATCTTTGTGCATACTTTTCTGCGGACTAGATTTCGGTGGGTTGTTGTTTAGTGCCTACTTGCAAATTTATATAATTAATATAAACTATATAATATATAACTAAAGTATGCTCAAATGGCAATAAATGTTAAATATTCGACGCCTTCCTTTATTCAAACATTATAATATAAGCTTTTTTTTTTAATTATTTTTTAATTTAATCTAAACGATGATGAAAAAAAGGATCGTTTTGATTAAATTCCAAATTTATGTTTCTATATTTGTTATCTATTATTAGAAAAAACAAACAAAAAATAATTAATGCCATTATCTCGAGTTACAAAATAATATAATTTATTATTATTATTATTGAATATATTTAATAAAAATATTAATTGAGCGTTGAAATAACTGCGTTTTGAACCATAGAAATTGGATTCATTATTGTTTAATTTTTTAGTGTAATTAAAAAAATAATTTCATGCGTCATTAAAATTTATGATTTCATTTGCTTCCCATTCTAAATTAAAATTTATATTAGGTCCATGATTTTATAAATAGGTAATGAATTTTATTTTTGTATTTAAATTATTATATATTTATCTTTATTGTGTTTTAAAATTATTTAAAAAAAAGAAGACAAAAAACAAATTATTAAAAAAATTTGATAAAACAACCCTAATTAATATATATATATATATATATAATTAATTATGAAATGAGACTTGACATACAAAATTAGCAATCTAATAGCATCTCGTTTATAACTATTTTATTTTTAAAAATATTTCTTTCACAAAATTTTTCCTATTAAAAATTTAAAATTTTAACTCTATAAAAATATATTTTAAGTTCTTTTTTATATTTTTTAAACAAGCTTAATTTTCTTTAAAATATATTTTACATCAGAAATTTATTAAAAAAATAAAAAAAATCGAGAGAATGTTTACTACACTTAAATGATACGAAAGTTATGATATGAAAAAAAAGGCAAATATCTAGATATTTACTTATAATATAATATATATGATAATCAAAATTTATAATAATTAATAATTAATAGTATATATATAAAAATAATTGAGGGAATAAAATATTAGGTCCCATCGAAATATCAGAACCTCTCTCTTCAATGTTATATAAGTACAAGAAAAGCTCTCCAAATCCATCAAAAATTGTTGAAGAAAGATAGAGCTTCCAAGACTTTCTGGGTGTCGAACTCGGCCTCTGTTCCAGAAAACCCCTTCCAGGTTCTTCTCTCTCCCTCTCTGAAAATAAATTCATTTTTTCTTTTTATTATTACCTTCGAAAATTTTCAGTTTATTTATATAAAAAAAAAAAAAAAACACTTAATTAATTCCTATTTATACCCGACTGATAATGATTTAATTTTAGTTTTTTTCCCCCTTAAATTTATGCTCTTTTAATTTAAATTATTACTGAGATTTGTAAACCTATTTTTAAAAATTATTGTTTTTAATTTTTAAATTTTGAGTTTATTTTTTGAAAATATAGGTGCTAGTATTGATTATAAGATTAATTATTTTTTAAAGAATTATTTTGAATATATATATATATATATAATGGGCTTTAAATTATATATTAAAATAATGGGTAAATAAAATTTTCCCGGGAATATAAAAAAGGAAAGTACCACTAATTAAAGTTTCAATCATTCAGTTTAAGAAGCTTTTGCAAACGTAAGAATGGATTTCTGTGGAAAAAAATAAAAAGTATGTAGCCCCCACACAAATGCTATATATATATATATATATATTTTAAATTATATATATACACACACAAAAATGGTTTACTTAATATTAAATAGGACTATTTTACAATATATTTCTTTAAAATTGAATGGTGAATTCAAAATTGTTCAAATTAAAAATATATTAAAAACGAAATAATATTATTTTTTCCATTTTATAAAACTCAATAATGGGTTTAAATCGTTTTTAAGAATATAATGTATAAAAACATTAATTCTTTTAATTAAAAAAAGAAAGAAACAAAAACGAAGATAACAAGATCGCCTCCTTCTCTCTCTCACATGTGAACATCTTAGTCGGCTAGATGCCGCCCTTTTTTGGCAACACCATCACAACAGTTAACTTTTCCATATTCCACCCTTATTTTCCCCTCTATTTTAGGAAAATAAAATATATAAATAAAAAAAACACACAAATTTTGCCATTTAGAGACGTCGGGAGAAGCTTATATGTTCCTGTCTCCGTCTTTGCCACCTATTTTATTTTATTTTCTTATAAAATTCTCTATTTATTTGAATGGGATTAAGGGCGAGGATCGATAATTTTTACCTATTTATTATTCTTTTAAATTATTTCAAAATTTTAATTGTTTTAATATAATCTTTAATAAAATATTTTATTAGTAAAGATATATAAAAATACTAGCCTAATTTTAAAAATTCAAAATTTAATATTACAACATAATTTTAACCATCTACAGAATAAATATTATTTAGTTTAAATATTACAATAAAAGTTTAAAAATTAACTATTTATTTTTTTAATATCGATAAAAAGTGTGTATATATATATATATATTATTTTTTTAAATATATATTGAAAATATACTTATATTAAATTGGATAAGGCAAAGAATTGGATAAAATCTCCCGTGATCCTATTTATCCAATGAAGAAAAATTATATTTATATTAAAATATTTGTGTAGGTATATTTATATTTTGATTGAATTATTTTTTAAAAATAGACAAATATATGAGCTTAATAGAGTCAATATTGTGGAGATTTGATATAACGACTTAACATTAAGCATGTCATGTGCCTGCCTCTATTTTTGCTTTTACAAGTGGAAGATTGTGGGACAAAAGTCTCAAACTTTTAGTAAATATTTATTCTTATAAAATCAAACCTAATTATTGAATTTGGATTATTCAAAAAGCTCCGTATTTCCTTAATTTATTTAAAGGGGTAGATTTAGCTCGAAAAAAATCCATATCGAATCGTAAAATGGGGAGGGAGCGGTGAAAAATTTCTCGAGATTAATGAGAAAAATAACAATGAGTCAATATAGCTACTGATTTGAATCAAAATACAATCATTTTTACGGTTTCATTCAGAATAACCTGTCTCGAATGAAATGTTAAAAGAGAAGGGTAATAAGAAAAATATAATAAATAATATAATAATAATTATAGTTAAAATTTAAAATTTAAATTTATTCCTTTCCTTCTTCTAGAATTTCTATATTCCATAGAAAATAAAAATAGAAATTCTATTATTTTAATAGATTCTGGTTTGTTACTTAAAATAGATTTAAATAATCCATCACGATTCTAATGAATCACGATAGCAGCCGTTTCTTTGAATTCTAAAATATTGTTATTTTTTATTATTTCAATTAATTATAAAAATTTGAAAAAAAGGTAGGTGAACCTAACGAGTTAAATCATGATTATATTATTTAAATTCGACAAGAATTAAATTAGAACGGTGTATAAGTCTCAGATGAAACTAAAAAAAGGAAAAAGAACCAAATCAATATAACAGTAAAAAAGGATTGTTTTTAGACTTTCTAACCGTAAAAATTAGGAATTTAAAGTCGACTTAGTAAATAATAGATGATTTATGAGAGAGAAATTTATATCTTTCCATTTAATTATTTTTAAAATTAAATATTTTTATAAAATTAGCTTAATTTCTTGCTTAAATTTATGGTAGTGGAACGATTAACCGGATATAATTGAATTTTATTAAGTAAATACTCGAAATTTTATTGGGAAAATAATTGTGAATTGTGCCTATTAATTATTAGTAATTACAGTTGTTGCACAAATTTCAAAATAATTAATAAAAGCATCTGAAAACGAGGAAGTCATACATCCACTCTCCCAACGCATAACTGCCGAATCAGCTCTGGCTGCTCGTAGACGCCTTCTTCTTCTTCTTCTTCTTCTTCTTCTTCTTCTTCTTCGTCTTCGTCTTTGTGTTCTTCATTCGTCTTGCTTCGTTATTCTTCCTTTTTTTTTGCTCTCTATTTCTCTGTTCTTAGTTTTTAGCTCATCAGATGAGGCACAATTCCAAGAATCAACCTCAGGTACTTGAACTCTATCCCGTGCTTCCTTATTTCTTTATATTTTGTTGCTGTTTGTTTGATTGTTGTTGTTAATTTCGAAAATATGAGGAAATTTGCAGAGAACATGGGCTGAATTATGTTGTTTCGGTTGCTCGTGCCTACAGCTTTTCTGGCCGAGAGTGGTCTTGCGCAAATTGCTCAATATCAGCGCCTTAGAGTCGGATTACAGTGCCGATACCGAAGATGATGAGGATGTAAATTCTTCCGATTCTGAAATCGAAGGTGTGAAGTTTCTAACCCTTGAAATTTATTGAGCTATGTATTTTTGGTTTGGTGTGTGAATTTCATTGAATCTTCATGAGCTCAGCCAATACACTATGCTATTTTGGGAATGCCTCGTGTTCTGATTTGAATATTTGATTGCTTTTAGCAGAATGTCGTTTTAGGGGAAGAGAATCGCGCTTTAAGGTAGACAACAGAGATGAACCACTGGTTGATGCTAATGGTAAATTTTGAAGAACATTAGTTTCTCCCTTACATTTCTCTTTACAAATTCAATTAATGTACTTGAAGCAGTACCAAAAGATTGGCATTTGCAGAATCTGGCAGGAATGTATGCTTTAATTTACTTGACGTGTTTGAGAATAAAAATGGATTTGGGGAAAAGATACAGTGCACAAAGAAAATTTAATGCAACATACTTTCTCTATCTGGAGAAATGGATTAAGAACTATATTTATCCAAAATTTTTAAATAATTTCTCATTTGTTTTTCCATTTGGTAATCTTCAAAAGAAAGAAATGCCTTTTTCTGGATGTTCAATGCGAGTGTTGGAAACCCCTTCTATTCAATTGCTGTCAGATTTCAGCAGATTCATACCTTTCTGCATGACTAGTTTAACCTCAACTTCTCATTATCACCCTGTTTTACTTGAGGCTATTTCAACGTTGTAGATAATTGTTGCATTTAATATAAGATCACCCTTTTCTAAAAGAAAATTAAGCTCTATTTGACCATCAAATCCAAATTCCTGAGTCCCATGCTCTCGTTCTCTTTATTTTGGGTGCATAACATTATGCTTTTCTCCTAAGATAAGGTAGCTTTCAGCTGTATAAATCACAGCCGAAGTTCTATTTGTGTGCGTGGGTGGGGGCGGACAATTTCTACAATTCCTGACTATTTTTAACTTCTTTATCTTCACAACATTGACCTATCATTAAATTGCTTCAACTTTAGATGTGCTGCCGAGGTTGAGAAGAAGAAATTCAGAAACATTTAGGACGCAATATATAAACACAAAAGAACTCAGGTATGATTGACCATTTGGAAATTATAGGATTTATGAAAAGTCTGATTAGTATTTCTTTTTTCCTTTGAGTTGAGCTATTTACTTTATCTCGTGTCAGAATATGTGTTGGGACTTGGAATGTTGGAGGAAAACTACCTCCTGAAGATCTAGATATTGATGGCTGGATTGATACCAATGAGCCAGCTGATATCTATGTCCTTGGGTGAGTTATTTTTTCTCTCTTTGTATCATTGTTTTCCTCTTTTTAATGATTGAATTTTGGACTTCCAGACCACATGATGCTATCTTGATTTAATTAACTGCGTTAAATTTGTGTTCAATTATTTATTTTTATATTTATAATGATTATCCCATCTTTTGTTATTAGTAGTTAGTTCTGCTTTGTCTCTGCAGTTTCCAGGAGATTGTACCATTGAATGCTGGAAATATATTTGGTGCTGAAGACAGTCGCCCAGTTGCAAGGTGGGAAGATATTATCCGCGAAACACTGAATAGGGTTAGACCTACTACAACTAAGATCAAATGCTTTAGTGATCCACCATCCCCATCAAAGTTTAAGCCATTTGACGACATCCCAAATTTAGAGGAGGAGATTCTGCAGGAAAGTGATAGTGACGTTGGTGAGGAGGTGCATCCATGTGATGAAGAATTCTATGGCAAGGAAAATGGTGACGAACTAGTCAGTGACACAAATCTAAGCTTGAAGATCCCAATTTCAGAACTTTCTGAAAATACCAAATCAGGGATACCTGTAGAACAGGATTTACTGAGGCAATATTCTTCTCCAAAGAGATTGGATCGGTTAAATTTCGTACGGACTGAAGACAGCACAGAGAATGACGAGGCTGTCTTGCAACCGGACAGAAGATTAACTAAAATGCTTAGTGGGTCAGAAAGGATTGGTTTGTGTTGGCCTGAACCTCCACTACACTTACTACCCCATATTGTTTTAGAGAGACCTAACTCATTTAAGTCAATAAAATCGTTTAAAACATCCAAGTCCTTTGGGAAATATAGTTCTTTTAAGTCAACCATGAATGAAATGCCATCAGGGGCTGCTTTGCTTGGAGAAATTGATCTCGAGTCTCTCCTAAAACGAAAGAGAAGATCGTCATATGTTAGAATAGTAAGTAAGCAAATGGTTGGTATTTTCCTCACAATATGGGTTCGTAAGAGTTTGCGAAGGCACATTCAGAATGTAAATGTATCTACTGTTGGTGTTGGTGTAATGGGCTACATCGGCAACAAGGTTCGTTCCCTTTTTCATTGTTTTTCAATTTTTGTTAACCTATGGATCCTGTTGTAGTTAGCTTGTTCTGCAATCTTGTGAGTTCTCTCTTTACTTCATGTTGTTTTGGCTTTCTACTAGAGTTTTTATGTAATGCAATATTATATAGTATGGTCGAAAGGAAATTGGTTGCCTGCCATAGGTCAATACCTTTAGTTTCTAGATTCAATATTGGATCCTCGTGTTGCATCCTTTGTGACCAAATCATTCTGGGATATAACAAAACCTACTAAAGTCTGTTATTAGTTATGTTTTTCATATTTGCACAGTGGAACCAACCAATATCTGTTAGTATTAATTTATTCAATGAAAAAGATATTTTAAATGGTTAGATAGTTTGAATTTTCTTCTGATTGCCATGACTTGTTTCTTATTACATTTAGCCAAAAAAAATTCTGACTTAACCATCGTTGTTGCTCATAATGCATAGCGAATTTATTGTTTTAGTTGTCTCTTTATAATTTATCAAAGCATCTATTTCTTCAGGGATCCATATCTGTCAGCATGTCCATATATCAGACCCTATTTTGCTTTATATGCACTCACCTGACTTCAGGTGAAAAGGAGGGGGATGAACTTAAAAGAAATGCTGATGTGAGCGAAATACATAGAAGAACTTCATTCCATCCACTTAATGGTATTGGGTTTCCTAAAGTGATCCACGACCATGAGTAAGTATTCACAAGATGCCTATCTATATATTCATATCTAATTGGGTTTTGTTTAGCTTCTTCTTCTATTCCACACGTTAACCATCCATATTCCGTGTAAGCATGACATGCCCTTTGATATCCGCAAAATGTACTTTCGAAAAAAAAGACCTTTCTTAATCGCCAAAGACTCATTTTTGCCATCTATGTGGAACCTTCATGCGGTTTAGAATAGGGGGTAGGTCAATATGTGCCTTTGACACTTTACTTGAGGAATTTTGTATTTCTCGTGTTGTTATCCACTAATTAGAGAGCTTTCTGAAATTTATTTAGACTTTATGTTGAATTTGGATTTCCAGTCCTTCCCTATAGTACATGTTTCTATTTTGGAAAATAATTATTTCTTATCCAAACCAAAAGTAAAAACCACTATATGCCTAGTCCAATAGGTTTTAAATTTCACAGAACATCTTAGTTGGAAGAAGGAAAAAAGTTGCAACATCTCGAATTAAAACAAACAATGGAATAATATTCAATTTAGATCAAATTAGTCAGCTCTTCATTGTGATAATCAGGACTCTTACTACTGAATGCTCTTTCTCTAACATAAATTCTTTTTATTCTTGTTATCTAAGGTTTTATAGCTTGCATGTTAACAGATATTCTTTTTCCCTATTTTCCTATTCGCTGCACATCTATATTTATGTGTTCCCTAGATTTTGATGTAGTAGTTGCAGATCTATCATCTTGTTTTCTTCTTGAAAAAATTGTAGCATTAGGTCATATTTCAGTCTTGATAATGCTTTAGGTTGATGAAACAAAAATTTATGTTACTATTTAACTCAAAGTCGTAGTTGTAGTACTTACAGGAACTGTTGTATCCAACTCTTTGACAACTCATTCTCTTTTATTTGCAGGCGGATAATCTGGCTGGGTGATTTAAATTACCGCATCAACTTGTCTTACGAGAAGACAAGAGAGCTTATCTCGAGAAAAGAATGGTCTAGGTTGGCTGAGAGTGATCAGGTACTTCCGTAAAGTAAATCTATTGGGATGTATGGGTCGCAACTAAACTTCAAAAATAGACGATGCCTGAACTTTAGGCATTTAGATTTTCTTTGTTTTTCTCTCTCTTTCTAGGACCAAGTAAAATAACATCTTCTTTAAGTGAACAAGAAGCCAAATACTTTATTGGCTAAAAATGTAGAATGTACTTGCTTAAAAATCATGTACAAGGGAACTTCCGTTCTAATTCCATTTCGATCTGTTCTTCGGAAACTGAAGTTTGTGATCAAAGGCTAGGATTTTTAGAGTGTCTGATATCATCTGGAAAAAGCATTTACTTAAGAAGTTTTTATTGTGTTTTTAAAAGGAGATTGGAAGTGGTTAAGCGCAGGGGCTCTGGAATATGGTTATTTTGTGTCGAACTATGAATTATGTGGCAAAATGTCTACTTGTTCATTGTGTTTTTCTTACATATTGTCAGTTATTGCGGGAGCTTAAGAAGGGTCGTACATTTGATGGATGGACTGAGGGAAACCTAAATTTTCCACCAACCTATAAATACGAGAATAATTCAGAAAAGTATTGTGGCGAAGATCCAAAAGTTGGAAGACGTACTCCAGCATGGTAAGCTTTTATTATTGAGACACGTTGATTTTATTTAGTTGTAGGGTCGTTCATATACAATCTACAAATGCATTGATATCCATGTTTTTGGGTAATGTGTATAAATGCTGTCTGTCAAATCCAAACAGGCATGCTTGTTCATCCACGTGCAGTTGAAAACTGCAGTTGCTGTCCAGTTTCTTCAGTATTGTAACTTTTTTCTCGCTTGTGTTCGATTTGCAAAATGAAAGAGGAACTGTAGGAGGACATGAAATGACAATATCAGAATACTCTGTCTGAACATACTTAAAGAAGACTTACCTCCGAAATGGTTGAGTTCATTGGCAATATGGTCTTTGTAACAGCCCTCCACCCACCGCTAGTAGATATTGTCCTCTTTGGACTTTTCTTTCGAGCTCCCCTCAAAATTTTTAAAACGCGTCTGCTAGGAAGAGGTCTCCACACCTAGGGAGAGCTTTCCATACCCTTATAAAGAATGTTTCGTTCCCTCCCCAACCGATGTGGGATCTCACAATCCACCCCTCTTTGGGGCTCAGCGTCCTCGGCACTCGTTCCCTTCTCTAATCGATGTGGGACCCCCATCCACCCCCCTTCGGGACCCAGCGTCCTTGTTGAAACTCCGCCGTGTGTCCACCCTCCTTCGGGGCTTAGCCTCCTCGCTGGTACATTGCCCGGTGCTTGACTCTGATACTATTTGTAACAGCCCAAGTTCACTATTAGCAGATATTGTCCTCTTTGGGCTTCCCCTTTCGGACTTCCCCTCAAGATTTTTAAAACGTGTCGGCTAGAGAGATGTTTTCACACCCTAATAAAGAATGTTTCGTTCTCCTCCCCAACCGATGTGGGACCTCACTCAACCATTTGAATAATATATTCTCTGGACATCCTCTTACCATATCTGTATTTATAGAAATAATTTGTGCTCCTTTAAAATATAAAATTTAACCTTTGTATTTTGACAAACTGGTAAGCTCCTTTATGACAAGACTTACCTCCTTACCTCCTTTATAACAATCTCATGCATGAAATTTATTATTTGTTTGCTGCATTTTCAGGTGTGACCGTATACTTTCATATGGCAAAGGATTGAAATTGTGCAGATATAGGAGGACTGAAATTAACTTTTCTGATCATAGACCAGTGACAGCCACCTATGTGGCCGAGGTCGAGGTTTTCTGTCCCCGTAAGCTACAGCGAGCTCTGACATTTACAGATGCAGAGATCGAAAAACAAGTAGCAATCGATGTATACTGATTTTTTATCAGTTGCTTAGATTGAGAGAATTTACTTGATCATTCATGTGCCTCAAAAAAGATAATTTGGTGTAGCTTCCCGGTGCAACGAACATTGCAAGGTAAATCCAAGGAGCCCAATCTCTTACAAAACCAAAGATTTGGCTAACAATGTTGTGTTTGGAGATCATGTAGCTCATGAACTTTGTTGATAACTTGTATTTAACTCCATTCTTTGGATCATATTCTTTCTGTAGCTAGAGATGTGTATTGCAGTGGTTGTGTAAATGAGTTTACTCTAGGGTTCATTTACATAATATATAGGGATGTACCACTCTTAGTTTGTTCCTACTTCCACGGGTTTTCCAAAGTATATGAGAGCATAGCATTTGTATATCAATAAAGTTTGAATGCTTTGAGATTGAGATTTGTGTCGTCTATTGTTTTGCACTTTAATCAATTTTCTTGCAGACTGGAAGTATTTTCCAAAGGGTAAGATCTATTTCTTGATTTGAGCAATGAAGATGCGAAGATTGCATTTATATTCATGGATATGTAAGCTTTTGAAGGACTTGGAATCCAACGCCAAGGTAATAGTTATTCATATTTTCTAGTGAACCATACTAATATGCATATCAAATCTTTGAACTATTTGTTTTTCTTGAAATTTCTTTTGTGCGCACATTGCTTCTAGGGGTAATCATAATTACGCGACATTTTATATAAAACTTAGTATATCGCTTCTATAAATAGCTCTTATTGTTACATCTTTTTTGAGATTATGATCCTTTATCATGATTTTTGCCATGTCCAAATTCCCTCTGGAGCCCCGACTTTTGAGGTTAAGGCCCAGGATCCTACCCGACCCTTCAACAAGCCTATCTTTACCCTCCTTGTCTATTTGATGTCTCTATCTTGCTTATGTCTCAAGTTGGCTTCAATACCCACTTCGTGTGGTGTGTTAGATGATGCACCGTTCTCCTTGGTCGCATCATGACACTCGTCTAGGCCCTTGCGTGGCCGGATGGATGCCACTTGAGGGTCGTCTCTTCTCTTGTCGTAACGTGAGGGTCACAACCTACTCTCTTCATAGTTAGGTTGTGACATTCTCCCCCGCTTAAACTAGTCATCGTCCTTGATGACATACTTGGGGGCACAACCATTGTTGAGTTGTGACATTCTCCCCCACTTAAATTAGTCATCGTCCTCGATGACTTACTTCGGGGCACAACCACACTTTAGATTGTGACACTTTTTTTTCTTTCTTTTTGAAGTTCTTACATAACAAGGAGTAGGAGAGTCAAACTATGATCCTTTATATTATTTGATCACTCCATCTAATTAAGCATATAGAATCCTTTAGAGAGCGAAAATTTGTTATTTAACATAATATCAAGTTCATTTTCCATGCTCCATACACATTATTTATTGAAAAAAAAAACACAGAAATTACTTCTCTAAGGTTTAGAATGGTGCAGGTGGAAGAGCATCAAGCCTTCCAACACAATTCTTATAAACCTTCATAGGATTAGGCTCAAAGACTTCAAACTCAGGAAAACGAAACCAACCAGCAAAAGCTCGAGCACACCTCTTCCCCATGACTTTCACGAAGACGCAACAATTTAGGTCCAATTCTTTCTTACTTATATTGAAGTAGTAATTGTAAAGTTCCACTTGACATTTTGCACTCTTCATCAGATCCAAACAAGGTCGTAGATTTATTCCTCTATCTTCGTCTACCCATCTATCCCATATAGGTGAATTGTAGTCGTCGTCTGCCGTTGAAGGTTGAGCTAAGAATGCCAAGTTTATTGCCAATAAGAGAATCACCATTGCTCCCATTGCGTTGCTTCCCTTTGCCATGTCTACGTATTTGCCTTTTTTGAGCTTTTCTTAATGTGTTCGTGTTTAATTTGATGGAGATCGTTAAACTATTTATAGATAGCGAGAAAACCAGATTAATTGGGAGAGATAAAACAAGTAACATTTGTAACTTATGTATTAATTTAAGGAGTTATATATTTGTAATGGTTTCCATTAACATTTAAATCACTTTAATGAGCGAGACCCTTGTATAATGACTCTTATGGAAACGGTTATAGTCATAGTAAAAGTAGGTTGTTACGGTTAAAGAATAATTATAAACATATTCATCAACTAAAAATACTTAATTATATAAATCTTAAAAATAAAAACCAAAATATTCCATAACATAATAAAATAAAATAAATAAGAAAAGTCAACATATGATATAATGGCCACTTATCATAACACGTAACTGACTCTCTTCTTATAATAAAAATTAAATTAATAAAAATACTTTTAAATTTTACATTTCTATTTAAAAAATATCTATAAAATTTTAAAAGTGGGTTTCGTCTATTATTAATGACAATAATTTTTTTTAATTTTTTTAATAAAAGTAAAAGTAATAATGCTAGCCTCAAAATTTTATTAATATTTTGATTAATATATATATATATATATATATATATATATATATATATATTATTTATTTATTTATAGAAAGGGAAAATTTTAAAAGTATGGTTTATATATATATATATATATATATATATATATATATTTTTTTTTTTGGACGAAATTTTATTTTTATTTTTATTAATTTAGTGAAGATAAAAAAAAAATGGTATAAAAAGCCGATTTTAGCGTTTCAGATCACTGACCGCGAAATTTGAAGAGCCATTTGGCTCCAAATTTGTGATCGCCTGAAGCTCACAAAAGGAGAAGGAATGAAGCTTCTCTTGTCGTTCTTACTTCTCTCTGTTACTTCTTCAGTGATACTTCACTTAGCGAGCCGTCCTCGACCGCTCCATTTCGTCAGGTTTCTGCTTTGTTTTCGACGTAATGTTTCATTTTCTTTGTTTATGCCTATGAGAACGCGATGCTTTCTGTTTGGCGGCTGAGACATTGGTGTAACCGAGTAGTTGATGATTTTGAACGTAGGAATTAGTGCTCCGCGAGTTTTATTAGTTCCATACATGTATCTTTTTTACTTTATGTTCCTTCATTACATTTTGATTTGTTTTCTTTGAGAATTGAGGCGTGGAAAGAGTAAGTACGATCCAAAACGTTTGTCGTGCTAACTTTTATTTTGTTCTTCGTTTGATCTGTATTTTAGATTGCGCGTCTCGGACTTTGGATTATTGTGCTTGATCGTTTGATTTGAGTTTGTGTGTCTTCAAACCGGTGGTCAGTTCGTATATGCAGTAGTTTTCAATAGTTGAGGCTTTTTCGTTCTAAATTTGTTCGTTATTCCTTTGTCATGTACAACCTTAGATTGCGCGGCTCGGATTACCAGTTATTGTCTATGATTATTTGAGTTGATTTTGAATGTATTTTTAATCGGTGATGCTGTAGATTTCAATGGTCGTGCACAGGGCGGTTCTGCTAGATTTTTACTCGAGGACAATAAATCTCAAGGAAGGTAGCTAGTCCTTGGTGACTTCCAGTATTTTGTGGTGACTTAAATTTTGCTTTCTGTATTATGTTATTTTGAGGTCTGAAATGTTTGAAAATCTATGTAGTGATAGCATCGTGCAAGCTTTCAATAAAGAGCTTGAGGAGGCCGTTAAAACTCTCGGTCAAAGAGGTAGTAGAATTTCTAGGATATACAAGTAATTCTAAGAGTTGTAATTTCCTTATTACCACGTGAAGTAGGCCTAGTTTGTGTGCTGACGTCTCTCTCGCTTTCCTTTCCTTGCTCTTGGATGCTTGATCACTATTGGAGACACCGTGCAAGGGTTTCCACTGGTAATCATTCCAAAATTTTTGTTCTTATGTTTATTCTAAATCTTCTCTCCATAATATCTATGCTTTTAAGCTGAAATTATCAATATCTGATAAATGCTGTCATCTGATATACAATAGTGGGTAATGGAAATCTCTGACAAGCCAGGCCAGGGAGGCAAAACCTGCATTTAAGGTGAATGGTCTACTACTTGCATATAGTAGTCATGCATGACTGCCCATCAACACACCGGACGGCTTTCATTGGTGAATTTTTTTTCGTCTTCCAGTAAACATTCAGTTATAGGGGAAAAAAGGTATCTCTTGCATGAATGATTGATAATTTGAAACATGAAACTGTAAATTCTAACATTACTGTTGTTATTTACCTGTTCTATGGGGCTATATGCCATGATGAATTGCTAAAGCATGCGTCCATTGTCAAATTTCCGAATTATTAGTCATCTTTGGTCTACTGTTGATATAATAGTTGTCATTGTTGAGTGCCTGTTGACATGGTTGCTCTTTGACTGCATGTACTATCTAGAAAGAAAAATCATAGGGTGAAAAGCAAGAAAGCTCTTCGACTGCATGTACTGTTTATCTGTATGTATGGGCCAAGTGTAGAATTGAATGGAGTATTTTTTATAAAAGCACCTGTGGACTTTCTCGAGGAAGTTTGTAATGATTTTATTTGATTTTCAGTACATAGGTAATGTACATGGAGATGAGCCTGTTGGCTGATAGCTTCTTTTGCAATTTGCTAACTGAATATGTGATAGTACCTGAAGGATCCATTTGTAACTTACATATTGTATCTTTCATTTACATACATATCCCTTCTCGTTCATATTCACCATGTCACATACATCAGTTTTGGACTGAATCTATTAATTGTTGCAATTACATTTCCAAACTCCATTATAGTTTTTTTTTTTCCCTCCTTTGTATTATAATTCCCAGGTTTGAGAAAAGAGATGAACTCACACTTTAAATACAAATGGACTTTTGTTGTTGATTTAAGAATTATTATTATTATTATTATTTATATTTTCTAAGTTTGCACCTGTTATGTCGCTCTCTACTCTCAGCATCCCAAACAGTAGCATATTTTCTTAATTTCAGGATTTTCCCATCCTTTTACCTATGCCAATGCCCGTGAAATGTCTTGTAGTGAGGAATTGCCAAGCAATCAATAAAAAGTGGTCACCTATTCCTATTAGGAATACTTCATATTTCTTGTCATATGAAGAATTTCCGATGTATGGAGTAATCATTACATGCATGGTGTTTCCCCTGAGATCTACCATCTCTTTAGTTTAATAGAGGAATAGGTCGTCTTAACCTCTATGCTGCAGGGGTTCCTCCTTGTCCAATGGCACCACTAAAGGCTTCGGAAGCTTCTTTCCAGGGACCTCCCATGTCTAAAGACGGGTCTTCTTTCCTACCAGTCCATTGCTTTTCTCCTGAGATCAACATTAAATGGCCAAAACCAATTCTATGATGTTATACGTTCACTTAGTGTCAATTCTTTGTCATCAACGATGATGAATATGCACAACACTTGAAAGTGCATTTTAGTATTAATGAATTACTCTCTTTTAATTAAATGGAAATGAATGCTTATATCACATCCATGCGTCATGATTCTGAAGTTAATGAATTGCTCTCTTTGAAAGTTGATTTTAGAATTTACACAAGATTGCTGCAGTTACCCCATATATGGTGGCATGCAAGTCTGGAACTGTATATACGGTGGCTGTTTTGAGTAAACTTCAGAGATTACAGAATAGATGGCCTCCTGATAATGAGGTTGGAGGTGAGTTCAACCCATCCCTGCTTCAATAGAAAGGAATAAAAGACTTGTTATTCCATTACTTTCAATAAAAGACTAGTGATCAATCTGACATACGTGCAGCTTGCTACCATTTTTTAGTACAACAAAAGCTTGTTGCAAGCTTTATTCAGGTACACCTTAGGTGTCTTTGAGTTGCATTTATGTCCTTGAATTGTCTATCTGTCAAACGAATTGGAACTCTTTTCAATGAATTTAAAAGAACGTTGAAGACCTTTGCTTTGTAGCTAAGTTACAAATCATTAATATGTTCTATTCAGACAGGAATACATTGAAGAATTTTTTTCATCAGAGTGGAAGGCCGTTACCTGCAACCATTTCACTCGGGAATAGATTACTCGGTACTTTCAAATCTTTAAATTTTCTCTTTGTTATTCCGCAATTAATTATTTGGGGTTACTTTTTCATTCATTTTGTATTTTAGCCTCTATAACTGCCACGCCTTTTCAGAAAATATGCCTAGGAGGCTAATGGCTCATTACCAGATATTGTTCGTTTTGGTCTGTGACGTATTCTCGTCAGATGACAAAAAATTTGCTAGCAATAGACTTAGGCGGTTGCAAACAATGACAAAAAAAAAAAAAAAAACTTCGATTACGTTTTGAATTTCGTTTCATATTCAATTGAATTAGATTTACACCAAATAAGTTCAAAGGAAAAGGTTGTATATACTGAGAGGTGAACAATCTACCTAATAAATATTCTTAAATTTAATTGACAGGTTAAAGCTAGTCAAAAGTTTGCCGATTCTATCACCTGTTAGCTGCACCAAGACAGAAATACGAAGGTAAGTGCTTCCGTTTCCCTTTTAACTGTTAATGTGTGGTCTTGATCTTTGTGAAGCATGTTGAAATTCTCCATGTCCTATTCTCCTGGGTGAATTTTAAACACAAGATTCCAGGTTAATTAAGATGAATTTCGTATGATATTACTTTTGCATTTACTTGAAACAATGGTCATGATATAGTTTGTGTTTTAGAACTTTTTATTCATCCTTCCTAACCCTTGGCATTACATTTAACGAAATTTAATTGGTCTGTCTCAAACAGATTTTTTCATGAGTGTTTAAAAAACTCGATAACTCAGAGAATTCAATCAACCTAATCCAATCTATATGGTTTGGATTGGTTTATCAACTTATTTAGGATAGGTTGAATTCCTGGGTTATACTCGAATTAGTTTGAGTGGAATCCTACTCACTCAAATTTATTGTTAATTTTTTTAAAAATATTTTTTTGTACTGATACAATTTTTTATGCGTATATTTATGTAAACTTTATTTATCTATATAATTATTTTTTTCGATTATTCCATAATTATTTTATTTAAGTATTGAAATTGAGTTGACATTACATATTTTAACATTTTACTTTTATTAAAAATAAAATTTTGAATAAACGACACTCCATTTAAAAAAAATATTGTTTTTGTTAAAAAAATAACAAATCAAATAATTATGGTTGGTCGAAAAGTTATCTTAACCTCATCCTATCCATCATTATTATTTTTGGACAAAAAACGTGTTATTTGTATTTAAGTTCTGCCTCTTGTTTTAGCATATTGATTTTTTGAATATATATACATATATATATATTGAAGGAAAAGTAGTTTATCATGTGCTTACGACGTAGGACACTGAATATGGTCTACTGTAGACATGAATGTATTACCAGATTCTTTTCTGTTTTATTGTTTGTTTGATAGCGTTAGGACAAAAAAAAACAGGATTTTGAGAAACATAAATCTGTTTTAATAACTACTTTTTTAGTTTTTGAAATTCTCCAACTATTTCCAAAACAAAAAAAAAAAAAACAAGGTCATATTTTGATAATCTTTTAGTTTTTTATTTCGAAAATCATATTTGTTTTCACTTTTTTTACTCGTTTTGGCGAGCTGCTCTCCTTTTAATCACATTTGAATTCTACCACTTTTTTTAGTTTTCAGAATTTGACTTGTTTTTTAAAACTAATAAAGAATGAAAACTAAACACTAACTTAAACAAATGATTATCAAACCACTCCTAATAATAGGGCATTTTCTATCTTGCTAGCTTCAAATAATCTCCTGTCCAAGAATTCACCGTAGTGAAAATTGCTTACCACAAGTGTTTTTGTCAAATATTAATGTAGTGAAAGAGTATTCGAGTGACGTGCTCAGGATTGGTCTTTTAGTTTATTCAAGTACCACAAGTACGATCGCACGAGTCAAGAGGCATTAAGGCTTTAAGCCCATTTCTTGTTTTAGGTATTATTTTCTTGGCTGTTGTTTCAGTATTTATTTGCTTTTTATTTCAGACGAGATGAAATCTAGACTTTCCAAGTGGGGTTTGAAATCGTTTAGTGGGGTCTGAAATCGTTTTATTTTGTTTATTTATTTTAGGTTACTTTTCATTTATTTCCCCCAAACAAAAAAACAAAAATGAAAAATTGGGTGAGTTTATGTTGTATTTCTTTTTAAAATTTCTGTCTGAATTCTTTGATTTTCTGTACCATTTTGTGGTGATCTAGAATTTTAGGTAATTGAAACTGTTGCAATCAAGTAAAAATTACTCCCTCTTTTTCCACCATTTGCTTTAGGATTAAATCTCAGTTTGGTCAATTCTTAGAGCTTTCATCATTTTAGTTTTTTAACTTAAAAATGATTGTTCGTTTTGGGCTCTTAATAATGTGCATTTTGTTACTATTTTGGTACTTAATATTCACTCCCTTAGTACTCACTCAACCAACTTACACACAACTTTAATAGATGTCTACATCATCAAAGTTTCATTATCTATTATTTAAGAGTAAATAAAGTTGAGGGATCTTATGTTCATTTTAAAAGTTTTGGAGAATTTAATTTGAAAAATTGAGTGGGCAAACGAGACTTCGACCTTTGTTTTAAGATTTGTCAAGATGCTTGGAAAGATCAAGGGCTTGATACCTCTAGGATCAATATAAGAAGACAAGTCGTTGAACGCCCCAGTTCCAAACCTGGCCGCGCTTCGCTTCTTCTGTATTCCACAAGTGTAACAAAGCAGTCAGAAGCACTAGATTTAAATGAATCAATTCCAATTTTAAAATGAAATTATGCTTTATCAAAAATGTTATAATTTAAAAAGGAAAACGAGGGGAGGAAGAACAAATGAAAATTAATAGAGGAATCAGGCCCATGTTTAAAGACGAAACAATAAGATGTTAGGCCTTAAAATGATGACCTGCATCATCGCGGCTGGATGGGTTTCTCAGGCACTAGACACCTCTTATTAGCAAGCATCTGCTTTGTTTTTTCAAGAACGCCAAAAAATATAGCGCCTCCTAACCCTATCCACAATACCCTTGGCCCTATGCCCTGCAATAACAAATAGACTCACAATTTATTTGGTTCGTTTTGCAAGGGAGGAAGTTCGTGTCGTTGTATCTCTTCGTCATAGTTCTGGACTCTTAAATAGAGCCGTTTTGAGTGATTTAAGGTTTTGAATCTTTTATTTAATAATTATTATTATACTTATTTGTTATATTATATATATTTGTACCTCTAGATTTTGAAAATTTTAGTTTTTACTCTTCAACTTCCAAATTTTTTTTCCAAAAATACATTTTCAAATTCTATCATTAAAAAAAAAAACTATATTTCAGAACAAACGTTCAAAAGTAAAAAAGAAAATTTTCAAAATTTAAGAGTTTGATTAAAACTTATCTTAAAGTAAAAGAAGAGTACGTAGAATTTAACCTAATATAATAATAGTAATCTCAGGTTTGAAGAACGAGCAACAAACCTTTAAAAAGGCACGTGCTCCTTCTTCCTTCATTATGGTCCTACAACAATCACGAATACCTTGATATTGACTACTTGATCCCTGCGTAATATTAAAAATCAAGTAAGAAAAATGTGTCCACACTTTAAGATGGCTTTCTGCCCCAAAAAAAAGTTGGGAGTAGCACATGAATCAGTACCTGAATCATTAATCTAGTTTTGATCACATCAAGAGGAGTGGTTATAGCCCCAGTAATAGCACCTACAGGGGAAAATGATCCGAAAGGACATTAAGCATTTGAAATAACTAGATTAACCGTTGCAAAGAGAAATAGAACAAAATTTTCAAGATCAACATAATTTAACTCACATAAAACATGTACTCTCAATCAAGAGCTCGGAGGTTTGAATCCTCCACCCCACATGAAGTCAAAAAAAAAAAAAAAAAAAAAAAACCAAATCAAATATTATTTTTCCAATTCCGTGAAAGCAACCTCTTTGGGAGGTTAAACGAAATTCTGCTACATCATAATAGTCTTCTTTTTCACAATGTGTTAAGCATGAAATGCATGATTTGGCTATTTACGTGCGCAACCAGATATCGGTCAAGAATAATTTGGGATCATAAGGTGAGTGCATGTCATTGTGGAGAAAGGGACTAGATTAGAGAAACTGGAAGATGAATATTGCATATTTGTAGATACTAGAAACAGCTCCTAGCCACCTGCACATAACGAGTCCACTTGAAATATTCATAATTTTACGTGCTAAAAGTTTCATGGGACCAATATATGCAATGGTGAATAAGAACAAGATCTGTAAACAATCTTAGTTGGACTGAAACAGAGATAGAAATGAGTAGAGTCCAACTATTCAGTTTATAATGTTCCAAAGATGAACCGATAATGAAGAAAGCATTAAGTGCTTAGAGTTTTGAACGTTATGAAATTCCAGCCCGAACCCTTATAAAAACAAAAGAAGAAAAGATGTCATTCGATGATTTACCAGAAAAGGCACCAATTATAGCATTCTCAGGGTCATTTGGATCTCTTTGCGCCTGCATCAAGATGTACAATATTCATTCTCCTTAACAAAATTGTAAACTGGCCATGAGTTGTTAACATTTCAACTTAACAAAGAATAGTGGATGGAAAAGTAGAAGTCTATTAGTTGATGGAATAAGTTGAAGATTACAAAATCGTCTTTTGGATTATTTTGTTGCATTTGTTCTGAAAGAGAGATTGTATTGAACTTACCGCTAGCTTGTACCCTATCCTAAGTTGTTCGTAAATGCAGAACTGAATGGCATCAAATGGCAAATCTCGTAGTAAGAAAGATCCATACCCCTGAGACATCAATCAAAGAAACAGGAAAGCGATCAATTACCAATATGCAACTACAAGAAAAATATACACCCTCTTTCGCAATAAATTGGTAAAATATTTATCGAATAATGACGGTTAAGGACGTTTGGTGTAATATGAAAAGATCAGTAATAAAGTGATTACTATTACCGCATAAAGGCCTTTAAAACCTTCCCTTGAAACAATAACGTGGACAGCATTCGATGCAGATGCAAAGTGGCTAGTCTGCATCCTTTGCTTAACAACCTGGAAACAATGAACGAATATCGAGCTCAGCAAGCATGGACAGAGTATTGAAATAAGGCAGCTAAATTTAGCTACCTCTGTTGGTACACGGATGATCGATGAAGCCACTCCTCCTATGACACCTGCAGTCTGTAGGTAGCTTGAACACCTATTAAATTAACAAATAAAGAGCTCTATCCAACATTCTGATGCAATAGTTCGCTCTAAAATATCATTGGAAAAAAAAAAGACGGAATGCAACTTAGGGACTTATAGCGTAGCCGAAGGGAAAACATGGTTGGTGGTAAATCTTACCAGATGAGCTAAAGCATTGAGGTTTTCGGGGAGAGAATTGAGCAATTTCTGCTTGGTAGGTTCATATACACCAACGAAAATGGCAGTGGCACTGATAATAGTAAAATTATAGAACATTAAGCACAGACGTCATATGATGAGAAATAAGAACAATTACTGCATTAAAGA